TTGTAACCTTTTGAATTTTGGATTAAATCCTTTATTCAATATTGTTCTCATTCCATGATACATAACTAGAATATATATATATATATATATATATATATATATATATATATATATATATATATATATATATATATATAATATAGCAGTCAATTCTCTCATGCCCATTTGCCTTTTGTTGCTTGTTTATTTCTTCTACTGAACCAAAGACTTTAATAATTTTCTGTACTAGGCCAAAGTGGTTTAAAGCATTGGTTAACCTTGTTTCCTGAAGTTTTGATTTCAATCTTTGGCATTGATAATTATTAAAAAACACAAACTTTGTGGCAACAACAGCAGCAGATTTATTCTAATGTTCAGAGTAGATAGGCCTGGCTGGTTATTTAAATTTAGATTTTTTTTTGTTTTTTTCTTTGCTCAAATCTGCCTGCTGTTATGCCAGAAACCCTGTTTATTTTGAACTTTTTTTTCCATTTGTCTGTTTATTCCAACCTCTTCTACCCCATCCCTTATTTTTTTTTGTTCTGAAAAAAAAAAAATTTAATGAATATTCCATCTTACCCTTTTATTCCATACTTAAGAGTAGCCATATCAACTTTCAAAGTACATCAATATAAGCACATTTTGTAGGATTCAATAACAATTAAGTAAACTCTCTGGAGTAATATAAATAGCTGTGTTGGTCATATTTTGCTTGGTAAATAACTTTAGTAAAGACAGATCTGTATATTTGCTGATATACAATTATATTTTTTGAAAATAATTTTTTCTCTGTATTTGTAATCTGATTGTTCTAAATTTTTTTCCATGGTATTATGTTTGTATTTTTATTGAGTGAATTTGGTTATTAACATATCAATTTATTAAAGTGACCTTGTTGACAGGAGTGTGTTATATTATAACTTTTCGGTAGTTAATATTAACATTGCTCATAACATAAAATAATTTACCAATGGCATGTAGTATTCAACACCATAAACTTACCAAAATAAAGTAAGTTTAAACTTAAAAATTTTTCCCATAATATAAAGAAAATATCTTCAAAGAACAGAATTCAAATAGACATTGAAATTCATTTTAGCTTGTTTTCAGATGTCTTTTATAATTTAACTCAATCATTTAATATAAAAAAAAGATGCTACATCTGTTTAACTGGTGTATAATGTATTTAATATTATTTTTTCCTTTTTTTTTTTTTTTTTTTTTTTTTTTACATATATACACACGACCTGGACATTTGGATATGTTTAGCATATTGTTTCTTTGTATTTTTATTTCCTTTGTTGGATCAGTCAAAAGCTGATGGCCATGAAAATTACATCAATTATCTAAGTAATTTTGATGGAAGTTTATTATATAGAAAGGTATATTAAGTTTATATAGAATTCCAGTACACAAAGATATGTTAAAAGAAATCTGTTTAATTACAGCAGTACATAGTTATTTTAAAATCACTACGTACATCTGTAATCATCTGTTTACACACACAAATAAAAGAAAATTTTTGAATATGAAAAACTTACCTACCTTTTGTGTTGTGTTCTTTCAGAATGTGGACAATCATGGCTCTCCACAACTTCCTGTCTGTTGTTGTTCTAAGTAATTTTTTACCTTTACCATCATTGTCTCTGTTCTGTCATCTATTCACACACTTTTAGTTTGATTACCATTTCATCTGCTTTTCTTGCTCTCAATGTCCTGTGAGTGTTAAATTTTCTAGGCACTCTCTTCTCAAGTGCTAGAAATTTCATATGTCTCTTTCTGATTGTATGTTTCCTTGTTGTTCCTATTTTCCTTGTGACTTCCTTGTTGCTCACATGTTCTGGTTGTGGTATTCTTAACTGAACCACTTCTCTATTGTTTCAAGTCTCTTTATCTGTGAGAAAATTATCCAGCAATCACTGCCATATAGATAGCAGTTAAGCTCTCTTTTTAGTTTCTAACTGTATTTACCTGTTTCTTAATACTTGGCTTACTTTCTAGAAGCCATCTTTACATAACTGTTGCACATCTTCAGACATCTATCCCATTTTTCCAACATTTGTTACTATACTTGTCATCATTGACAGATCTCATTACCAAGTATTGAGGTGCTTATCGACATCTTCTGGGTGAAATGAGTCCTATGTTGAATTGATAGGAGGATTCAGGGGATAGTGAGCTCTGACTTTTCTTTGGTCTCTTTTCCTCTTCTATTTGTCTTCTAGTGTTTTTTTTTTTGTGGACTGTTCTTCTGCAATTGGTTCTTTCTGCAGCTTCCATCTCCCAATTGACTGGATCAATTTCTATCCTAAGCAAGGTACTTTTGAGCTGATCCTTGAATTAATGACATGGGACTCCAAGTGATCTCTTGACAGATGCAAGATCTGAGAAGAGGATTTGTTTGGGTAGGTGGATGTCTGGCATCATACCCATATAGCAAAATTATCTATATCTGCCTGATTTTGACATCCCCAATATATAGATCAGATCTTGGGCTCTCTTGCTGACACCCATGAATTCTATTTGTTTGTTTTGAGGGATTTTTTGTTTGTTTTATAAAGCTTGCTGTATGTGTGGATTGTAGCATGGTATAAATCAGTTGAATAAAAAAAAAAAAAAGACCTGTTAGTGTTATATTCATTTTTAATTCTGATTATGCACTTAAAATTATTTTAGTTCACTACCATATATAAATTACTAGCTCATTTATGTTTCTTATAAAAATGAAACTTAGCTTGTTAAGTCAATTAATATTTGCAAGTCACATTAGAAAAATATTTGATAAGTTTGAAAATGTATCCTAAACTATAATCTCTAAGTCCTGTATGCAGTAGGATCCTGATTAAGATATGTCAGGAATTACACTCTGTATTTTGAAAAGAAATCTTTATTTTATTTTTTAATTAACCTACAAAAGCTCTGAATTAGATTAAGACTATTTATAAATTTTGACTGAACTTTTTTTTTCTATAAAAATTTTAGTTTTTTTTTCTTCTTTAGGGAATGTGTAAGCATTAAAAGTAAATAGTAAAACAATCTTGTATATAAAGTACAGTGTTTGTGTGTGTGTGTCCAAGCAACTACTCCACTCCCACTGGTCTGATTTCAATGATTCATAGCTTATTCAAAAGCCTTAGAAAAGTTAGGCATAGGGAATGATTTTTGTTGAGCTCAGACTCAAAGTTGTCAGATTATGTGAGGTTAAAAATATATATTATACTAGCCAATATTGTTGCTTTTATGGTTCAAGGGGAGGAACTCTTTGTACCCAAAATTGCAGTTCACGTTTTATTATAGATAGCTTAAAAGCCACCCTCTCAGCCAGTGTTTAAGCTAGCTCCTTTGGAGGGCTCTTCTTTTGGCCATCATCACAATAGATAGGGAGGAGTAGATGTGATAGGCATCAATAAACTACAGAAGAACTCAAAATTGATCGCTGCATTTAAGTTTTACATTGATGTTTAAGCTTATCTTTTAAAACTTCAGGATAATTCTTCTACTGTCACTTAATTTAAAGATGATTTGATGTATGTAGAGCCTTATTTTCTGTACAAACAATTATTTTTATTTTATGGGTAACAGAAGAGGGGGACAATTTATAAGATAAAATTAATATAGTGTAAAAATGAGAAGATAGAATTAGTTATACATTCAACATTTGAAGAGTTAGAGAAACATAATAGCTAATTAAGTAAAACCTATATTATGGAATCTCTATATGAATAAATGTGAAATTGGAGTTCAATTCTCCCATGAATTCTGTGATTAAAAAGCCCACCTCCCCCACAAAGTCACATTGTGACACAAGGTTACTTTAATGTGGGGAGCCTGAGTGCATACACCTGAGCTAGGAACAGAAATTGCCCATGCTCCTGCAACAGTCGGTTGTGCTGACCTCAGTGCAAGCACCGATTCTTCTCTCTATTGCAATGGGAGGGTGCAGCCTCAGCCAGCTGTTCCCCAGGGCTGAGCACCTCTCAGTATAATTTTCCTCAGTTGCAACTCTGTCCTTTGATGGAGATGCCCCTGAGTGCACTCTGCCCAAAGACACACAACTGAGAGATGATAATGTGTTACAACTACTTTAGAGATTTACTTTTCAGGTTTAACTAATTTCCATATTGATTTTAAAAAAGTTTTTCATTAATTAATTATCCTTCATTACTGTTCTTTTATTCCAGGATTGTTTTGACTTTCATATCAAAAATAGTTCTGTTTAAGAATATCATCTTGTATAGTGCAGAAAAGTGTTTGAAATTTTCATTTTACTTGGCCTTCAACAAGTTGGCATCTATTTATAAAACTTTCCTTAACTATAACAAGCCAATTTATGAATGAAATGTTAATTTAAAATTTTTGTTTCAAAGATTTCAAGTAGAGAATTTATCTTTGCCAAGTGATAGCAAGTGGACAAAGCCTGCTAGTTCATTATATAATAATTGTGATCAAACTAGTGAACTTTGCTGAACTTCTTTCATTTCATTTCATCCAATATCTCTTGTCCCACTTGAAATTCTTAGCATAAACCGTATTAATTGCTTTTCTGATGATAGATCTCAATTATTTTGAATTTGATAAGACTGAGATTAGAATTAGTCTTAATCTTAAATCCTTTTCATTAAAGGGAAACCTCTCAACCTAACCCAACCTAACAACTATGTGTAGAAAGTACAATGACTGGTTTATTCAAGAGTGTCTGTATTTCAACACAAAAAATAACCTAAGACATGGACTTTTGTCTAGAAAGTCAAAACCAAAAATAATTGCTTTCTAGAAATAAAAAAATAAATTTCTCTTTATCGTTACAAGATGCATAACATAATTTTAAATGCTTTTTCACTCTTTCAGAAATCAAGCAGGCTGTCATAGATTACTTGAAGAAATTCTATGAAGAAAATGTTGATGTTGCTTTTAAATCACCATGGGGTGAATACCCAGAACTTCGAACTCAGGACATTAACCTTTGCCTGTATAGAGTGCTTGATTTTCGCAATAGAGCAGATATCCCTGATGTTACTTCTATGTATCATGATGACAACCAGCCTCCCTACAGGTAAGAATGGATCTTCCATCATTTTCTTTTTTTTAATTGGAATCTTAAACAGTTACAGAAAAAATAAATTAACTCAAGTCAAATACTTCTTGGCACTATTAAACTTAAAATTATTTTGTAACAACTGTTAATATTCAAGTTTTAGATAGAAATGTAATGTATACCTTTTCTTTATTTTTTGTACTGATTAGACAGTCTTTCAATTTTAGGCCTTAAAATCTTTACATAGAGGTCTTTGAGTCTAATGCAAATTTTGATGTTTCCCACTAATTTCTAAGCATTTAACTATTCCTTCACCTGCACAAGCATACTATTAAGAAAATTAATTTTCTATTTTAGTCAAACTGGTATTGAATAACAATGTATGTTTCTGTGAAAGATCATTATAATTGTTTTCTACTTGAACTTCAAGGATATACCTTTTGGTAGGATCCCCAAAGAATCGCTGAGCTGTACAGCCTCTCACACAGATTAACTACTAGTGTACCACCAATTAGACAAAAATTGCAAGCAAAAATTTGAATCTCCCACAATTGCCAGACCAACTCACCAGTCGGCCACATATGTCATTGTGAGCAACACATGATTACTTAATTGTTTATACTGATGTGGTTGGTGAAGCAATTTAATAGTTTAATAAAAGTTTCTAACAGTAGCTGATACAAGCAATGTATAATTGGTGGATCAGAAAGGCATTACTGAATTCTTATGTATCTTCTGCTGGTCTCGCAAAATGAATAATCTATCATGTTTGTGGAACCAAGAGTGACAAATTCAGTGGGTCAACCTGTATATGATTTTGGCAGTTTTTTTTTTTTTTTTTTTTTTCATTCAAACAAAAACATTATACCCTCTATTTTAAAGAGAAAAACACAAAGTTTTTACAGGTTATTTTTTATATTATTAAAACTTCTTCATACCAAAAAGCAAATTTAAATCTCATAAAATATTAATCTTCTTGATTTGCCATCAAAATTTTCAAGGTTTTATATTTATGCATAAATTTCTGAATCTTTTTCTAGATGTCACGAAGTATCCATTTACGATCTCTTCTCACCTATTCAACACCATGTCTCTCGTGTTACGCTGGTTGAAAGCAATGTCTATGAACAGCGTCTGTTTTGCTGGAAATTGCTGTATGATTGGTCAACACAAGCAATGGTCACATGCCCATTTTATGTACATAAATTTACTGTGGTCATCTATTTGGACTGCCTTCAAGTAACTACCTTATCAAGAACAGAAACTATGGAACCAGCTGAGCGTCTTGCTACACTTGTCAAAGTGCTCCTTGAACCATTATTTAAAAAGAACCCCAAGATTGGTCATAAGGAGGTTTGTGATTGGCTGATCTCAATCCAAAGTGATATGCTTGTTATCCTTGATAATTTTGATTATTTAAATGACTCTACCAAAAAAAATCTGCATGGAATTCTTAATAGTTTTTGTCTCCCAGATGCTAAGCTGCTGATTTCCTGCCGTCCACGATTTGCTAATCGACAACTCTGTGACCAGATGTTCCTCAATGTTGGTCTCCAACTTCATTGTGGATTTGTCTTTCTCCAAGAGCTCCTACTTGCAGATTTCTCTGCACTGGAAGTATCACTGCTAATACAAAAAATTCGAAAAGATTTGGTGCTCACTAGAGTATTGCGCAATGTTTATACACTGGTTTTGTTGGCTGGGCTAATCATTGACACTCATGCCAAACCAAAAACGAACAGTATTTATCACTTCTATCGAGAACTGACACGTTGTGCCCTCACACGTTACTACACAAAATTCCAACTTCTGCCTGAAAAACACCTAATTTCACTGGTCTTGAAGCAAATGTCAGTGTTGGCTGTGAAGCTATGGAAGACTGAGCGATCATTCTGTGAGTCTTCAGAGATTGATTCCAGTTTTTGGCAGCTGCCAAACACTCACCTTGGCTTTTTTGTTGAGGCAAAATTGCTCCCATTTCAAAGTTCTAGCTCGTATCATATGTTCCCAACTACAAACTTTCTAGAGTATTTTGTAGCTGTCTATATTGCTGAACATACTGATCGTTATCAGAGAGATGACATCCTAGAGTGGGTTCTTGAGAAAGAAGGTGGTTTCCTCTGGGTGGTATTGACAGGATCTCTCATGTCTTGTTATGATGAGGATACAGTTCGGTGCCTGCTGGATGTCATGGCAAGTATGAGCCGTAAAAAATGTGTTAGGATAGGTATCTTTGATAAAATCATCCGAGGGAATGTTCATGACTATGATTTATGCCTGGAGTGCCTTAGTCAGATATATTATCCCCCTTCCCTAATGAACTCCCTGGTGGAACAATTCCCGGATGTATTGGAATTTCATATTCAAAGATGCCCGTCACAAGTTCTGGAGAATTTTTGTCGTTTGGCCCGTCTATGCCAACTTCGTATCAAAGGCATCACTCTTCATTTAGATGGCATGGAGGACCATTACTTTCTATGCATCTCCTTAGCTCATGCAATAAATCGGCTTGAGAACCTAACTACATTACTCATCCATTGTGAAAGTGTCTTTAACAGTCAGTATATTGTGGATGTGGTATGTGAGATCTTCAAAAAGAACAAATATATCCGTACTTTGTCATTATGTGGGGAGATGAACCGTGCAGCCAATTTCACCCCATTGATGTACAAGAAAGTACGTTCTGTGTTTACCTCGGAGATTGCATTGCGTACTCTCTCCATCGACAACATCCACAACCGTCATCGGTTAGCCTACATACTCAACGTGTTCCCAAACATATTTGAAAAACTTGAATTAGCTCGGTGTGATTTGGAAAGTGCAGCAGAAAAGTTGGTCAGCAAGATTCTGCTATCAAAGAACTTCAATAGTTTCTCCGTGAATAATTGTGTCATCAGCAGTACGTCTGTGAACCAAATTCTGTCAGAGATTCTTTCATGTAAAGCACTTTGCAAACTCAATCTCAGTTTGCTTTCTCCCTTGCGCAATTTCAGCTGCATCGACATTCGGTCTTCTTCATTTAAGGCTGCTATGGACACTTCGGCATGTAAGAAAATTAAACAGCTTATTTTGACACTACCAACTCTCACAGAGTTGATTCTATGTCAAAATCGTATTGGAGATGAACAGGTAGAACCGATTATCGAAGGTATTTTAGAAACTAGTCATCTTGAACATTTGGATCTAAGTGGTAATGTCATCTCTGATGCGAGTGGACCTCTGCTTATGAAATTACTCACTGGTTGCACTAGTCTTAGTGTCTTGTGGCTCTGTTCAAATGACTTCAGTGATCAGATGAGGAAACAGTTACTACACAGCTCTGTCAGTCTAGAGCATCTAAAATTAGTTGTATGAAAAATAAGCCATAAATAATTCTGCTCAATAATTCCTGAGTTGTGTTAAGAGTAACAATGAAGGGAAATGGAAGTATTTTTTTTTTTTTCATTTAGGAAAAAAAATATTAAAAAGTTATCGGTTTAAAAAAAAAAAAAAAAGAAATGCAAAGATACAAGTTGTCTTGTTTTTTTTTTTTTTTTTTCTTGTTTAGTATTGATGTCTGTTAATTTATTCCATTATACAAAATAGTTGCTTTCCACTACACTCACATTTCAATCTGAATTTTTACCAAAACAAAATTTCTATCTTCACAAAATTTTTCCAATATTTTGGTCAGAGAAATTTTTAAAGGCATAAAAAGAAAAGAATCGGGATGTTATTCATAAAATTTTAATAAAGAAGACTTTTTACTTATTTGAAATGTATTTCTGATTAACCCTGGATGATGTCTTCAAGGGTTTGATTATTTTACTAATGTCTATATAACTTGAATTTGCCTTAAAACAAAAATTAATACATATTTATTAAGTAACTATTATAAAAGAGTAGATGCTGATGTCTACTCCGCCTTTTCTTAAAAACAAGCCTTAATCTCTGAAGACTTGTTAACTATTGTACTGCAAAAGTGAAATATCAGAAATATCCCGCTTATCTTAATCACACCCAAAAAGCATTTCTAGATTAACCCTGATTTCTTATTCAAAATACCCAAAATTGCTCTTCTAATTAGTTTCGTTCATCAATCAATTCTGCTTAAAATAAGTTTTAAAATATTTTTTCACTGTCAAAGTGCAATTATTATATAATCATATGCATATATACTTACAAAAACAATGATGTCATACATTTTTCAAATTTCTTGGCTTGCCCATGCTGATTTGTTTATGCAAGGATAAAAAAAAAAGTTTTCATGCCTTTAGTAAGTCTTTCAGATCCATATCTACTTGTCTATGCATGTAAAATGTTGAGCTCTTTAATAGTATTTTACATGTATACAAGACAAATTCACTTGATTCTATAATCTTGACTCTGAAAGCCATTTTCAATTTACATACAAATCTGTATATTCATTTCTTCTCATACAGAAAATGACATCAGGTTTCATTGTTTCTCTTCACTTATTAAGATGTCATAAAAGGACAGACTTGTTCTCTGAATATTCTGTTCTGATTATCATGTAATTTTCATTCTTGCTAACATATTAGTAATAAGAGATGAGAAAGTGGATAAATAATGCAGGAATATCTTGAGGGTTTCTAATACGAATGCGTGCCACTTCAAGCTCAGAATTCTTTAAGAAAGAAAACCAAATGGTAGATTTAATGGACTTTTTATTAGAAAAATTTTGATATCATCATCATTAAAATTGATAGACCTTTTTATATATATATATATGTCTCTGAATTTGTGCAGTAGATAAGTGTTTGAAATAAATCATCTTTTAGTTAGAACTTTTTCTCTCCTTTGTATTGAATAGGTGAATATATAGGAAACATATGTTCTGGAAGCAGACAAACAAGTAATAACAGTTATAAAGAGAGTGAAGAAATTAAAGATCTTGTACCAAAGTCACTTTAATTTAATTCTTGAGAAAATTAAATTAGAATAGTTAACAGTACCAAAAATATTTAGGGGTTGAAACTTTGCATT